AGAACTATTGATTTCCGTGAACCACGCAATGATAAAGGCGACGAAATGAATGAAAAAAGCATTAACACAAACACTTACCTTGCAAATGTCATGAGCGGAATTTAAGCTTAACCGGATCTCTCCTAGTCTATGACAGCTACCGTCACAGAATAAATAAAAGTAGAGTTAAAATCTTCAATAAATCATTATTTAAAGAAATTCAATATTGTTATAGTTGTGTTTAATTTTTTTTTATCGAACCAATATAATCGTATCAAATTTATTCCGATGCATACATCAAAGAGAAAATTAATTTCTATCACAGACCATGTTTATATTCAGAATTCAGTGGGGATAGATTGTAAGCCCACATCTACGTATTTCTGCCGCGAAGGAATAAAGCTTTCGGGTGTGCACGGTGAGACGGCTGTTTTACTTTACAAAGTGTTCATGTCTCGAGGTGGAAGGCGGCATTCACAATTTTGAATGAGTTTTGGTAGCCACTAAGCACTAGATGGGAGTGGGTTCATTCATCCGTCTATAGATTAAAATGCTTTTAATATAAATATTTTCGTTCTCTTCGGATTCCTGCTGCTATGCCTTTTGTGTTAACACATTCCATATTACGCTTCCATGCGACTCCTATATGCATATAACTAAAACTTTTAAACGATTTTTTTTCCTACCTATGCTGATAGCCTTGAGATGTTATTTCAGCAGCGCCCTAACGTGTGTAGGTGAGCTCACGGGCTCAAACCGAAGTGTTGCTAACACTGACCCTAGCAAGAGCAGCGCTTCGCAGAATCTACCACCGGATCGGAAACGGGACCCACTGAGAAGATCAGGTGAGAAATTTTTTATAAGTATGTGAGAACAAACTACACTATCATAATTGAAAACTTGTGATAATAGCCTCATAAAATTGATATCAACGTAGGTAGATGAAACTTTTAAAAAAAGTTTTCATTGAAACATACCTTACTTCAAACGAGACAGATGCTTGTTTGTACTTTTGGCATTGCTGATGAGGGAGAGATGGTAACCACTTCACATCCTATAAGCTGAAGGCTAGTGGACTTACGAAGTAATAGTGTTTGGTTTGTAAAAAAAAACTCGCAAAAATTAGATGAGTCAAAGGCCTGATTAACGTTCGTCATGAACATTGATTCCACAAGCCTTATTTTCAGAATAAAGTTGTCACAGCTCACTGATGCAGTATTTCCGGAAACGCACCATACGTCAGTAGCTCTACACCAAAAATATAAATTATGAACAAGGGTAATCAAGAGCCGTAAACGCTTTGCGTGAAAAAAATACCACATGATGATATCGATCTAGAGAGAAAAAAGATGAGTGGTGTCGTGGGACACCGGATAGGAACGAAGTTCCTTATTATAAAAATACTAGCGACCCGCCCTCGCTTCGCTTCGGAAACATTAAAACAAAATTAAAACCAAAAAAAAAAATTAAAAACAAAAATTAAAAAAAATTAAAAAAGTAGCCTATGTTCATCAGGGACAATGTCGGCTTCTAATGAATTTTTAGAAAGAAATTTTTCAAATCGGTCCAGTAGTTTCGGAGCCTATTCGAAACAAACAAACAAACAAATCTTTCCTCTTTATAATATTAGTATAGAAGTATAGAGTATAGATTAATTTTAAGTTCTATTCGAGGTATAAAGAAAATAAAACTGGAGGTTTCGCAACAACCCACGGTCATCTGATAACGTGCGAACTTATTGTGATAAACTTCATTCACGGTTGCTTGCATAAGAGTTAGTGTATTGCGCAAACGAACGCTCTGAGATCGCGGTCAATGAATGATAAAAAAAAAAAATATATGTTATTTTTGTACGTTATTACAAAGCTAAGTCGTACACTTACATGAAAAAAAAATACTAATAAAAATCTTATGTTACGGACGTTTTTCCCGGTTAGGGTACCTCTCCGCATCGTCCCATAAGGAACTTCGTTCCAATAAATACATACTGTATATTTTCGAAAGTTTATCTTGAAAATTTATGATAGAGTTAAAATTGTTCCATCGCGTAATGTGAACCGCCCTACAATTCGTGGGAGCATACAGGTGTGATAATCTATAGTTTGGTACCCTCAAAAATAGGCATACAATAGAGAAAGGATTCACTTTTGTTACACGTAAAGGGATGTTGTAACACGATCTGTTCTAAGAGATGAGTCTTTATACATATTTTTGGGCATCTGTTCTGAGGCTTCGTAATCATGAGTAACACGATAGGGCAGATGATGAAATACCTTCTTCATTACGTTCGACATGAGCGATATTTTATGAGAGAGATTATTATTTAGATATCTGAAGAAAATTAAATGTTTTCTAATTTAAAACCGTTTTAGTTAATTTGTCTATTCTTAAGGTGATAATGAAACTGTCAACATGATACTCAGAAAATACACAATTATTCCATTGCATTTTATCTAACTAGTTGAATCAAAATAATTTAGTAAAAAATTTAACAAAAGCTGACTTCAAATAGAAACAACAAAATATTCCAAAACAAATTAATATACACTAAAAACAATAATCATCGGAATCGGTTGGCGTGATATTGAGTTATTTATCTATTTGTTGCGCACGTACTTAATGCAAATTTAAGAGTTATATAGTTTTCTCATGGATACTATTATCAGAACTGGACTAAATTGAAATGGGACCACACGGGAAGCGTCAGCTTTCTAATAGAAAAGAATCATCAAAATCGATTCACCCAGTCAAAAGTTATGAGGTAACAAACATAAAAAAAAATACAGTGGAATTGAGAACCTCTTCTTCTTTGAAGTCGGTTAAATACCAAAACTACCCGGAATATAAAATGAAGAATAATTAAATAATTAACACAATTACGACACGTAGGTACAACATAATTTAATTATTTAATTTATAATTCAGTTTTGTTAAAGAAAAGCAGTTGAAAGCAATTTCTAAAGCTCACTCGTTAGCTTGAAAGTCTCCTTGTGTAACAACCGTAATTACGAAGCATAATAATTTCAGCTTTACACGAGGATGGTGACGTAATTAAAGTGAATTTAGAGTTTTCCTCGCGTTTCCTTTTGACACAAAATATGTGACAAATAAAAAACCACTCATTATTTTAAATGAAGTACCTTTTTTATTGCTTAGATGGTGGACGAGCTCACAGCCCACCTGGTGTTAAGTGGTTACCGGAGCCCATAGACATCTACAGCGTAAATGCGCCACCCACCTTGAGATATAAGTTCTAAGGTCTCAAGTATAGTTACAACGGCTGCCCTACCCTTCAGACCGAAATGCATTACTGTTTCACGGCAGAAATAGGTAAGGCGGTGGTACCTACCCGTGCGGACTCACAAGAGGTCCTACCACCAGTAAATTTCCTTTAACGTTAGAAATGCAAGTAATCTCTTGTAAGATACATATAAAAATAAACGTGTTATGTTAATCATTTTCGTAATGTGATTATAAAAAAAAACAGCTGACGACAAGTTCGCGGTCTATTCGATGTTTAGTGTTAACTGGAAGTTATAGACGTATGCATGTTCCCTTGCCGTCATTAAAATATAAATTGATGTATCAATAATTGTTCCCAACTTTCAAAGTAGATCTAATGATTAGTTTACGGCTTAAATAAGCAGAATGGCATCTAATGATGCGAGGTTGCAATCCTAATATCCATAGATTTCGATGATCAGTTATCTTTGATTGGATTTCAACTCTCAGATAGTTTAATAGGTTTTTATTTGTTACTAGCTGACCCGGCAGACTTCGTAGTGCCTCAATCGATAAATAAAAGACCTAAACTTTTATATAAAATAAACCTAAAACAAACAAAAGGAATCCGTCCGACGGGGGACACATCAAAGGAAAAACAAAATTGTAATTTATTTTTTAATTGTTTAAAACCTTCTCTGGACTTCCACAAATAATTCAAGACTAAAAGTAGCCTAATCAAGCCAGTCGTTCTCGAGTTTTAGCGAGACTAACGAACAGCAATTCATTTTTCTATATAGAGATTTCATAGATATATAAGCGATCTTATAACCCACTTGATATAAGGTGGTTAACGAAGTGCATATTCAACGCAAATCCTCTCTGCCGTTTTGAGAAATGAGGTGCGGCGAAGAAGTCATGCGTTCTAGCTTGAAGAGTGGGATAAACTGACTATTAAACTGAAACTTAGACATGTCTCAAGATGAATGATGACATTTACGCGATGGTGATAATCGGCTCCGGTAACATCTTAACAACTTAAGTTCAAATGAGCCATGACTTAGCTCTCCAGTATATGCTGAATATTTTATTAAGTGTGTACTTCTGATTATTTCAGATGTCAATATAATTTGACACAAACTTTCGGTATATGTATAGTAATTCTATAAGCAGAAAAATTTTTTTTACAATTCATATAACTTTGCTATGAACCAAAACAAAAATTTATACGAAAAAAACAGCTTTTTCTTGAAACACATTAAAGCACCGCACTATTTATTATTCCTAAGCAGAAATGTAAGGAAAAATTAAGAACGAAAAAAAGTGATTTAAATTTCCACAAAGAAATAAAAACCAGCTGTAAAAGAAGCGAGCTCAAAGATGTTATTAGCATTCGTAAACTTAATGGAAGATTGTACGATGTTACCTAGAAGCTGGAGACGAGATGAAATTACAGCATAATTTTATCTCCAGCCATGTAGATTTGCAAACATAAAAAAAATCAACAACTGTTCCCATAGATTCCCATAGATTAGAATTCGAGTCTAACTATACTGAATCGAGGACCGAAAAAACGTTTAGCGGTATTTATGCTAACCAGCTTTTAATTTAGTTCCATTTTAATTGCATTTTTATCGTATTTTATAATTTATTTAAAAGAGTAACAATGTTCTTGGTCTATTTTTACATACATAAGATTGTTATTTGTTTATAGAGGTGATAAAAAGTTTGATTATATCTTTCCGAATTAATTTTCAACTAAACATTTACGATTATCATCCATAAAAATTTGCACTAACCTGCCAAATTTCAAAATGCACGAGCCGCATAACCTAAAAGGTATGTTAATTAGAAGATCACTCTAAGATTCTTTAACCCGGCAATCCACCGGTAGCAGTCTTACTTTACTCTCACAGCCTGCGTTTTGTATAGGCCGGAGTGAGACGGATGCTTTTCCGGATTCCGGCCACGGGTACACGCGTTGGCGGCACGCTTGTTACTGAATCTCTGCTCCCGCGAAGCCAGGTCAGGTCACTACAGCCGTGTTCATATCGAAGATTTTCCTTGTAAATGTTTAAAAGCCCCAATTTGGGCGCTGACGCTCGGATTCGTTTACACCTTTTTTTGTTTAACTAACAATTTAGTTACGCACGTGCAAATTTGTGATCCCCGAAGTTTTAATCACGAAGGGTCGGCCAAACTCAAAGGTTCTTCGACATATTTTTTTGTGCGCGCAAAAGAGAAACGTTAATTTTTTTAATCACAAAAACTTGTGTTTGTGAAAAGGAAAGTTGTTTATTTTTAAATGATAAATGAGACCCTGTCTTCAAAAATAATTTTAACAAATTATTAGCATTCTTTTCGTGACGTCAACATGTCGATCAAATAACAGAACACAATCAGCTATCCCAATTAACCCTTGCTTGAACGCAGCGAATGTGAATAACGAAATGAACAATTCGCGAATCGACGTCAATCAACCCAATAATAACCTGCAGTCGCTGCATGCAAACTACATGAGATCCCATTATGAACGCTGACTTTATCAAAGCCTTTTAATCTGCAGAGAGCATTCGGAATTAAACAAACAATACATTGTACTCGATCAGGCAACAGTATGAACGGGACTTTACTCAGCATCCAACGTGAACAAACACACAAGAGCACCAACAAATACATACATACTCGCAGAAAATTTGATACATTTAGCTCAAAGTGTGCGTGAAACATGTACACGATTTAACGCCTGTGTGTGTTATGCTGCAAATGGCCGCCGTTGCTTGTACGCATGCGCATTAAGAAAATTCGTAATTTTAGAGATTTGAGCGATTTTTAACTTAATAACTATAGAGATAAGGTATCCTAGTTCTGTTTGATACGTAGCAGATTAATTTGCAGTAAGCACCGCGAGTTTTTGAAGTCAGGACTTGAGGAAGGTAAAGGACACTTCTAGACGCTGAAGGGAGTGTGTGGAGAATTATAACAGGGATGTATTATGAAAGATGGAAATGCATAATTTAAAGAAACTTATAATTTTGCCTACGTACTGCCAGTAATCTCAATATAATTATGTACTATTTTCACCAAACGAGGGCTCGCCTACACAACTTCGGGGACTTTCCTGAGATCTGCCTGAAATAACAATTATGTCATCTATGCATTAGTCATATGTGCAAGAGATCAATTTTGCCACATACCTCCATGTTCTCACGAAAACATGAAAATAAGAAACGACACAGCTGTCCTTCGATAATATTAGGGGTGATCTTTAAGGTCAACAAAAAGTCCTATAATGATTTAAGATAACTAATAATGTGCCCTAGACATATAAGAATCAAAGTACCAATATCGGACATGGTGAGCTCTATGGATCGGGATTAGGGATTGTAAAATTAACAAAATCATGACCGCATACGATTTTGTGTTACAGATATAAATTTATTAAGAAATCTACTTTTCAACAGGACGATGATACACTACTATATCATCATTAGTTCATAGCCATCAATCAATTTATAGCTTGCTGAATCCAAACACTTGATTTAATAATGAAAAATAAATTATTTAAAAATAGAAACCGAGAATTAGATCAGAAATTAGGTGGTTGGTTGGTTGCAGTATAAGAACAATACAGGGTTTAATGGAGAAGTTGTAACTTAAAGAGCTATAACTAGGGTTAAATACAACAAAAGTGTTATTTTTACTGAGAATCTAAGATAAAACCGTTAAACAACTCAATTGCGACCTAAATCTCGGGCCGTATAGGTTGATTGCGATATTAATATCGTAAAAGACAAAACCTATCCTCGGTTTCTTTGCCAATCGTTCTTATTGTGAAGCTGTAGTAAGATCAGTGATATATAACTATTTCAAAGCGCCTTTAAAAGCCTGATGGACTAAAAATAATTTGTGATTTAGATGATGCTTCCTTTGATCGCATTAGCCCATTCGATGTTGTCTGCCTAAAAATAATAAATTATTATCATTAATGTCACAAATGGGATGCCCAAAGGACCTAAGGTGTTTTAATTAATTGATTCGTTCCCAATTCCGACCGGGCTCAAACATATATGTTTGACGTTGAACACGCAACGTAATGAAAAGCGACCCTCTAGTTCCGGACACTTTTATTGCGATCCCTTTGTTTAAAATAAACTGAGTTCGCGTAATACGCGCACACGGAAATATATTTTTTGTTCGTTTTATTTTTTTATAGGATGGGTGAGTCTTAAGTGGACTTTTTAAAGTTTAAAATCATTTAGTTTTTATTGGCTATCATGAACATTTTTGCATGTTTCATGTCGGCTTAAAATATCACCACTCAATTAGTTCCTCCATAGAGAATAATTTTTTGAGCATCATTCCTGCGTATTGCGATCAACAAGCGATACATTTTGCTGGTGATAGGTTGCTTTATGTGCCCGCACGAATAGATACAACCATCCTGCTTAAATCTGTCGTGAAGCCATCATGTATTCTAGTTTAAGGGACCATAGAGCCTTTGTACAATAAGTTTGTGGCTACGATCTCGTGTTTCAAGGTGAATGACATTCACTTTGATTGTACACCAGGAGTGCTAGTTGACCTCAGCCAAAGAAATGCACATATTATATAACACGAAACTAATTAGGTTATTTGGTAATGGACTTTGCGCGTGATTTTGGAGATTAGTTGAGAACTTTACAGTTATTTGTTGGTACTTTATAGGAACATATTTTTTTGGGCATGGGCCCGAACCTCATACGAAGTATCCGCGCCTCAGAGGTGCGCTGTGTATGTGGGATTCAACGGTCTGGAGATGTTGGGGGCAGACCACGGACCCAAGAATGTTTTTAGGGCCATGTCTACCCAAGGACTCCCGTAGCACTCTCTCACCCGATATCCGACTTCCGACTCCGCCGAACCCATACAGATTAGGTGGTTGCTGCAATCAACACAGCAACCAAACTCGTGGCGACACCCTTAGGGCACCCAGCCGACGAGTCATCGAAGCGATAGTCAATACTCTACGACGTCCCTAGGCGGTGCCGCTGGTGTCTCGGACACCCCGCTGGACAATAACCAGACTTAAAGAAAACCTGCCTTTAAAAACCTTAATAAGTGATCTAAGATAATTTAAGGTGAACCTATAATTTTCAATGTACCATCACATCATTCACCGTCAAAACAGAGACTATTCACACTCCCTGGTACTCCTGCGCTCGTCTATAGTACGTTTGAAGTACTTTTTAACCAAGTTCCAGAAATGGATTTCTGGAATGAGTTCCCCTCGTGATGTTTCAGATCTTGAAATATGACTTCAAATAATTTCTAGCCGGCGAGTAGCAGCCCAGATCTGTCTCAGACGTTATTATTTTCCATGAGCATCAATAATCAGTAACTTTATGTTGGACGATATGTTCAACTAGCCTCTGATTCACTCATCACCAAATTAAGTGCGTGAGAATTATTGATTAGTAAAAGCTGTAATATGTTGCTATTTTAATCTTTATGATTCTCATATGTGTATTATAGTTATGTTTATTTTGTCTAATATAATACTGTCTAGTAGTAAGATGCTTATGTGTTTACTACAATAATTCAAGTATATCATGGACATTCTCTAATTACTAAAATAAAATTACTAGCCTCGTCTTAATGAACAAAATGTCTAGCTTCACCTGCCCGGTCAAACAAGATTCACTGAAATTTGCATCCTCACATAATTCGATAAAGACCGTACTCCATAGGGTGTTCAGATTGTTTCGGTATAGGAAACGATAATAAATATCATACTGCATCGCCTTAATAAAATAAAAAAAAACTTCAAAACAAAAATGCACACTAGTTTTCTGAAGCCGCAATGTAACGCAAAGACACTCTCGGAACAGCCGCGAGTTCGTTCACCCCGCGTTTAAATGTCTTTAAATTGTATTTCATTGCGTGCGATAAATTAGTAAAACATTTTTTTAGGAACAAAGTTCCTTATGGGACGATGCGGAGGGGTACCCTAACCGGGAAAAACGTCCGTAACGTAAGATTTTTTCTGTTTAGTTTATTATCAATAGATGTCGTTGCACGTAAATTCAACAATTCCTGAATCGCGGTGACGAGATGTTACACAGTTGATAGAGGTTTTCCCCAAGGCGAGACTACTCCATTGCACTGCGGAGCGGTTGACCCTTGCGATTATTTTCATTCAATTCATATTTCAATAAAAATATCATAATATAAAATGTATACGCGAATAATTATTTTCTTTATAATACCTCGAATAGAACTTAAAATTAATATTTTTATAATTAGGAACTTCGTTCCTATCCGGAGTCCCATGACACCACACATCTTTTTTTTTTATCATGACCTTATTTTTACTTCACATCATCCCGTATACAGGGCTGGCAAAGGGTAAACATATTTGTCAGTCGTCTGCTGCCCCGCGGCTTCCGACACCAGACTATTTGTCACTCGACCACTCCGCTGCTACTCCCCAATTAATTATCATGTTTGTACGCGTTTAAAACTTCCCCTACGCTATCATCTCAAAATGACCAATATAAATATTACGGGAATGTTTTTTTTATAGCTTAGATGTGTGGACGAGCTTCCAGCCCACCTGGTGTTAATAGGTATAGTGACAACGGCTGTCCCACCCTTCAAGCCGAAACGCATTACTGATTCACGGCAGAAATAGGCAGGGTGGTGGTACCCGCGCGGACTCACAAGAGGTCCTACCACCAGTAATTATGCGAATTGGGAGCGTATTTATGGGATTAGGACAGTCCCATCAAACCCATCACAACAGCTTCCCTGTGTAGAAACGGACTATTATTTCATTCAGTTCCTATAAGTTTTTTGTTTTCTCACTGAAAGCTAAGATAATGTTAACCTACGTAAATAAAAAAAAACAATTAAGTACACAAAGTAACAACTAAGTAAGTTTTTCGGCCAAGATTAGTGTCAAATTTGAAACCAGGTGTACTTCTGTTTATTTTATATATTTAAATAGGCAAAGATAAAACGGTTACGATCTCTCCTTTTTTTTTGTTTCTAAATAAAGTGTTTTCTTGAAAATAAATACTCATTTATTGTTTTCTTAAAAAAAAAAGGAAAATGTCATACATAATAAAACGAATCGAAATCCTGGTGTGTACGGTAAATTTTCAATTATTGTTCAAAAACTAATTTATAACGAATCTTCTTCTCTATTTACTTAAATAAAGCATCAATAATTATGATTTTTTCTTTTACCGCCATCTCTCTGTTCTTTTCTGTATTTTTTTTATTTTAAAAAATCTATGTATTTTACTAGTAAAAAGCAACTGACCAAAAATTTCATCTGGACGTAATGTTCTGTTGCATCAACAGATAGCGCTGTAAAACATAAATTTTCTAGCAAGTTTTCACAACGCTATCAACTAATGTCACCACGAAAAATATAAAGTATTCGATATGTCTGAAAAAAAGTAAAATGAAACCGTAAAAGTAGTGACAATTCTGCCACTGACAGTTCTGTCATGTTATAACAAACTAGCAGAGAAGTCAAATAGCAGAGATTAAGTTGTGTGAGGAAAACATACAGATTTAGCAATGTCTATACTACTTATAGTTGCTAAACATTTAATTACTTTTCATTTTAAAATTGCTAATTAGATACTAATGAATTTAGTTAATATTCTATTGTTTGATTCTTACTATTGTTTGCACCGTTCACAAGAAAACAAAAACAATCGTTCAAAAATTAATAAACAATCGACTCGAATATTAACTGAAATGAACAGATCGGCCCTTGACCCATCTCAAGTTTTTTTTTCGTTGCATCATTGGGTGTAAGGAGAAGGAGAAGGAAAGGATGCTATCTGACTACGTCGGAAATTTGGCACTATTGCTCGACCTTCCCGGTCAGAGACCTAGAGGTGAACAGGAAGGAACCCAAGACAAGATGGACAGATGTAGTGCTGAAGGACAAAAGGGAAAGCAATGTTGCTGACCAGATTGTCGAAGACAGAGCGATGTGCAAGAGTAGAATAACGAAAGCTGATCTCATCACTATGTAGGATAAATGGGTAGGAAGAGAGAGTGAGATTGCGTCATTGGATGAACGATATCATTGTCGACCTTGCTTTCCGGGTTGAAATGCGGGAAACTGTTAAAAGTATTATAATTAAGACTTCAATCCATGTTTTAAGATGGGTGGCACCTTAAAATGTCTATGGACTCCACTAACCACATAACATCAACTGGACCATGATTCGTCTAGCCAAATAGACATAAACTGTCAAATGATACAAAATGTAATAATATATAATTAGGTTATTGAAAAACAGAGATCCAACAAAGAAATTATGTGATAATGACTGATCAAGATTCATCGTAAAACGATGCTATTTCTTAATCTTTGTGCTTCGATCTTTTTAAAAACATTAACTATTTATTCAAGGACAATTTAAAACAATTTGCATATTTATTTATTGAGGATGTTCCCTGTTAATAGCTCTATAAATTCGGAATGCTGAAGCAGAAATCACTCATTACTTTAATTAAAACGTTACCAAGTACCTTCGTATACCAAAATAATAGCTGTAATCGAAATGAAATTACTTCTATTTCTGGTACTCGCCATCTCTGCATACCAATGCTTTGGCTACCCAAGAAAACCAATAGATTCTCAATACGAAGTGAAAAACAAAGTGATTATTGTTACTGGAGCAGCTCGAGGCATTGGTTATGCAATAGCCGATAATTTTCTCGAAAAGGGAGCAAAGATCATAATCATACTAGACATCGATGTGCCCAAAGGACGAGACGCCGCGGCAACTTTAAATGCAAAATACGGAAAGAACAGCGCGGTTTTCATCAAGTGTGACGTCACGAAAGATCTAGATGAAGTCTCCCGACTAATCTTAAAAGACTACGACGTAGATATTTTGGTAAATTGCGCAGGAGTGGTCAACGAATTTGATCCTAGAAAGACGTTGACGACAAACTCAATAGCTCTTATCGAATGGTCCCTTAAGTTCAGAGAGTACATGAGAAAAGACAATGGTGGAAAAGGCGGAACGATTATCAACATTTCTTCTATATACGGGTATACAATAGACCCGTTCTTGGTTTCATATAAGGCGTCAAAGTTTGCTGTCTTAGGGTTTTCCAAATCACTGGGTCATGAATTGAACTACAAGATTACTGGAGTCAGGGTGCTCGTTATATGTCCCGGTGCTACAGATACAAGATTGGCAAAGAACGTTAAGGTATTCCCCGAACACAACGAGCTCTTCACAAGGCTCACAGACAAAGCACAAAAGCAGAGTGCAGATGCCGTTGGTAGGGGAGTCGTGGAAGTTTACAAGTCAGCTAGAACAGGTACGGCTTGGGACATTATTGGGGAGAGACCCCCTGTTGAATCGCCTCTTGCAGCATACGCTTCCATGAAAGAAATCTTGGATAGTTAAAAAAAAATTCTTTAACTATATTTGACATTTACTTTGTTAACCCTTTCAAGTGTACACTTAAGATTAGAATCTAAAGAATAAAGAAGATATTGAATCTTAAAAATTGTTTTAATTATGACGACTCGAAGTAAACAGTTTAAGATCACATTATTTTACATCGAAACTGCTCATGAAAAAATGTTCATTACGTGTTTATTGTGCAAAAAGAAAATTATGATAAAAACCCAAAAACGACGCTTTACAATGAAGTCCAACTAATTTTTACTTATTATGTAATAATTGTTAATAAAAAAAAAATATTCTTTTGTAATCGGTTCTTGAGACGTGGAAGAATTTTCAAGTATATGGGGTCATCTTGAAGCTGCTGATAATTATGCTGAAAGATCAAGCTAGTGAATTGTGTGTTACCTGGATTATGGATAAAATTAAAATTTAATACCAACATAATGGTCTCACACGATTAGAGAAGGATTTCTTAGATGCGCTTCTGCAGCTCAGCAAGCGGAAGTATATCTAACCAATCTAAAAAAAAATGTGTCAAACAAGCGATTAGCTTAGAACTAGAGGTCCCGCAGTAGTCGAAATTCGACTATAATTAATTGGAATTGTAAGTTTGTAGACTATTATGATTGTATTTTATACATTTTATACTTCTATAATAACAAATTTTGCTAAAACTACACTATAAAAAATATTAACAAAGACAAACAATATTTAATGTATTCTCAATTTGACAACAGACGTCAAGAACAAAAGTTTGACAATAAATAATATGCATGCGTGTGTGCGTCAAATACATCGTATGTAGTGTGTGTAATGTTTTCTTTATTGATTTAATGTATCTTTTATGCATTATTTAAAAAATATATTAGCATTGTGCACTTCTTCTCTATATTCTCTATAAGTGTGGAAAATTTCATACTCCTCCGTCCGCGCAATTTTCGTAAAAAGGGATACAAAGTTTTTGCTTCACGTATTAATAGTATTATATAGATGACTCTAAGATTTCTATAAATTAATAAACTTTTCTCTATAAAAATTTTATGGTAAAAAAAATATATTTATAATACCCCTGTTTATGGATAAAGAGAATTGTACCAATACAATTATGTTACATATTTATTGTTTTCAGATTAGTGTCTTTATTTATTTATCGAAGATTATGGTGAAATTAAACTACAAAACCATTGTTTTATTTATTTATTTTCTCTTTAAATATTTACAATATTAACAAACACGTTAGAGCAAAAACTTAGATTGGCAGTGATTTTAAAGTACATTTATTATTAAGTATTCAAATTAGATTCTCCTGCAATAAAATTTGGCACGAATGTTAGGTACGTGATCTTATGTGATCATCAATAGTTGATTGAAATTTGATATTGATTGGCATTGATTGAAAAAATAAGTTGCTATTTTAATTATTGTTTTGGAATATAGATTTGAGAAACTCATTTAACTTTTTATAAATATCCAATGTGGTATCTTTTTAAATATTAACTAATAGAATTTTTCATCGCTTTTCAAAGTGTTAACATCATCAATGACAGACAAAATGGGGTAGTAGCCCCAAAACAATTTAAACTACATATGTATAAACATGGCACTCTTTTCGTTTTTCTATCAATGTCACCCGTTTACTTAATATTTTTTTTATTTTTTACACTAAGTACAAATATCACTGACAACCTGTTATGGTTGTTATACACCACGCTGTAACATAAGTTTTAAAAGTGTTTTTAATCATGACTTCATGCTTAGAGTTGAAATTGTAAAATTATTTTGAGCTTATCAATAAATTCATAGCAAAAATGACATTTGAGTTTTACACAGAGTATATAAATTAAAATCTGTTTGAATAAAGCCAATGATGGCGTCATTTAAGGCCAAACAATGGTCAAACTTATTTGATTAACAATGTATTTTCCGATTGTATTCCTTTATTGAGTTTTTATTAATCAGCTAGCCTATTCCTCGAAATAGTTTTCGGATTTAACAAAATTAAACAATAGCTAATAACCATTGTCATATTTAAATTAACGCAAAATCTCTCAAATTCAATGTGAGCAAGTATAAACCAAATCATCAGACAAATTATTTTTAAAATTTGGCATTATTTTTTATCGTTATCTTTAATTGGCATCTATATAACTATAATACTTTGAATAAAATTTTTGATGGATAGGCTTATCAGTTCAAGTGGTTTGGTAAAAAGCTTTTCCGGCACTGGCGTATCAGACTCCTACCAATATTTCAGCATATTTCTCATGGCGTTTATTTAAAATGTTTAGCAATATTAAAACAGGTATTGATATAGATCCGAAATGTGTAAAATTCTCATTATTAACTACAAAGTCCACATAAAAAATGTTAGAAGTATGTTGAGATATGGTTCAGTAACCGTTAGATTGTTTCTACAGCTATACACTATTTTTATTGAGCTTGTAACATCACTACCTAAATTCGAAGACACTAGAAACAGTATTTCATATAAACACAAAAACATAATTACTTTTACTTTAGAAAATCTTTACTTCATTATTCATGTCTCTTGTGACTTCGCTACCGTAAATCTATATTTTATTCCTATTTTTTATTACCATAAGGTACAATTTTGTTCGATTATTGGTTTTTAAAATTTCAGTCCAAATAGGCCGCGTATCCAAAAACGTTTTAAAAAATAACTCATTTTTATTTACAAATGTTAGAATTTTGTGATTTATTATTTAGTTTAACCTTTCCTATATTTACAATGAATAATCAAGTCATAAATTAAATTTTGTAGATGTCGTTATATGCAATTATTGCTTGTTACTTCCATAGGATATATAGAAAGATATAAAAAAAACAGATATTATGTCATACTTTTAAATACTATTTTTAATTAAATTAAAAATTCTCCAACACTAATCACAAAGAAACAGCCTAGATTATCTGGAGCGAAAGTATTATGCATCCAACAACTTCGAAGCTATTATTCGGATATTATGTTTACAATATCATTGAAAATTTTTCAGTAATCCATTGGTGAGTGAGCTGTGAAATAGGAGTACAGTAAAATAAATGAAATAAGTGCGACTATTTTTTAATTCAGTGATAAAAAAAACTAGTCAACAATCGATCGTGCGTTGTTTAAGTTTGTGAACAAGGACTGCTTACCCATAACAAATTATTTTTAACTAACAATACCAATAGTACCTAATTACTCGTATTTTTTTTTAATTTGCTTGTAGCAGTCTTTATTGTCCTTATACATGTATTGTGAAATCCCTTCGTTCCTGCTCCTGACGTTGCTGGTACCTGCAATTTATTAGAAAGCTCATTTAATGTGTTAGTACAAACTAGCGGTGAAATATTTCGTCTCTCTCTCTCTTTCTCTCTCTCGATCTCTTCTTCTCTCTATCTCTTAAAGTAATATGACAATACAAAAACTTTCCAAGTATCAGAAGGAGAGTTCTAAAGAATATGGTTTTAAAATGTCAAATAGTTTTTGTGATATGACCTAATATATTCCCATTAACGGTTCATAGTTGTGTTATTTTCGTCTCGGTCGGCGTTGTATCGCGTTCCGATCCGGCAGGTTTGTTTTGATCCAGTGGGTATCCCGGAAACCAGCGCCATCACCCACGCAGCCTTACGGGCCGCCGTATTGCGAAGACCAGCGTCTTTGACGATCGCTTCGACGACCCGTCGGTCGGGCGTCTTCAGGGTGGCGCCAGGAGTCTGGTTGTAATGTTGACGGCTGGACGCCAGGAGTCTGGTTGGTTTGACCGGTCTCTGACCGGGCGGACGTCGGACGGCGGGTGTAAGAGTGCAGAAAAATCGTTTAGCCTACTAAACGATTTTTAGCCTACTAAACGATTTTTGGGCTTGAATTTAGGACCCTACCTATAAGATCCTAAATTCAAGCCCTTGGGCCCGCGATCCGCTCCCAACATTTGGAGGCCGTGCAGTCCCACATACCCCGCGAGGACCTCGAACGAGGTTCGGCACCCGCCCCAAAAAAAAATATTAATTGTTAGCTAGAAATAATTAAATAAATCGTTGAATTGATTGCATTCACTTAATGAATTCTGACTGTGAATTTTCATTTTATTTAGAGTCGCCATTGTTAGTTTCGAGTATTGGACGCCGCACTCTTCAAATCGTTCTAAATATTTACTATAAAGGTCACATTATGATCCGTTTCTTCTTTATCTAAAATACTTTTCAAGCTAAATGAATTCTGTTATTGCATCTATCATATCTTTCATATCGTATCGTATGTCGTATTACTCTTATCAGAGCGATCGTGATTGTTATCCAGCATCATTGCTGTGGGCAGATGCTATGCGCCTCACGAGCAATCGCCACTCCTCCCGGTTTGTGGTGAGCCTGGTACACTCATATATCTTTACTAGATTTAAAATAAAAGGTATCGTTTATTTTTTGATTAGATATAGACCCTTACAATATTTCTTGGTTGAGATGCTTTCCTCTATACAAACAAGGACCTTTAGTCTGTGATCATAAGTTCGAGGTTACCTTGAAGACGTGGGCGTGTGGTGTCGTCGCTGCCGTCGGCGCTTGTCGTGCGGGCGCGGGTGTCGCGGCTCGCCAGTGCACTCCGCACCCGAGTCTATCACCGGCCGGAACACGTCTTCTACAACATTACTGTCTACTAACATCAAACTTATTAGAGTATTTTTTTTCGAAGTGAAACTTCTAATGCGCCTTCTAACAAGATTGCATTAAACGTTTAACGCTCTCATACTAGAAAGAGACACAGCGAGAGTGAATGCGCGGCACTCGAACGCATGCGCGTAGTATACCTGTTACAGGCCAGCACGACCGTTAGCAACGAGTAGCGTCCAATATTTTAATGATGAATTTAATTTTTTATTTTTTTTATTTACAATTTAAAATATATATAATATAAATGTTGAAGATGTCGCATCTCTTATACACAGGATTACAAGAGCAATCTGATTTAAGGATGAGAAATGAAGAAAACCACAATACTAAACATCGAAAAAGAAGTTTCACTTCATTCAAGTGCACCAAGTTGCACGCGCATCGTTTTTTTTAACACTAATCATACCAACGCTTACTGGTAGCTATTTCAGTCATAGCGGGTAGATGACGGCTTACGACAAGTATTACTCAAAATAAAAATAAAGAAAAAAAAAACAAAAAAAGAGTATAATAACTGTAGATTTTATTGGTAAGAAAAAGTCATGAAATCAAATGTGGAAAAGCAACAATATGATACGTACATTTTCAATGCAAAAGTTCAAAATAGGTCAATTGGCCCGTTATGGTATGCTTAGTGTTAAACTCTTTCCCTGATTAGCTATACTCAGAGTCCTTGTACTCTACATTCGTACGAATCCCTCAGATCCAATTCTTTTGTATTAGACGCCTTTAGGTCTAACACTAAGTAATTAACTAACTGTACTCGTCCAACTCGATCGAGGTGCAACCTAACCCATACATCAGCCCGCTGAGTTTCTGACAGGATCTTCTCAGCGGGTCACGATTCCGATCTGGTGGTAGTTTCATTTGCGAAGCAGCTGCCCTTGAGCTATAAGGTCTTTTTCGGAGGCGCTCATGCAGCTGTTAGCAAATCCCACCCCTGAGGCTGAGCCTTTGCTCGCCCAGCTGTCTTAGTGAAACTGGAAAGACCTTCGAGCTACCAGTAATCCTTCCATCCCAAAAAAGTCCTTACACGTCCTGTTCTCTATTTTTGCCTTGGCTATTTGAATATTTACATGTATAAGCTATTTTTATATTTTTGTCATTTGATTTTTTCGGGTTGTGGGATGAGTTATTTAGTTGATCGCCAAGGACTCAATGTAAATGAAAAACTCGAAAATTAGTTTTAATCTTTTTTTTTATTGCCCTTGTAGGCAGACGAGCATACGGCCCAACTGATGGTGAGTGGTTACCGTCGTCATGGACTTCAGCAATGCCGGAGGCAGAGCCAAGCCGCTTCCAGCAAAATTTTAATCATAACGGTTCGGCTGTTACAAAAGTCTGGTATACCTTTCGTCGCGGCCATGGGCATTCTGTAGGACACGCTGGAGGTGCACTCCGCGCACGGCGACCCGCTCGAGTCAGAGTCCGACTCCGAGCGTCGCACCATCAGCGTCATGGCGCGGGACAGCGTGTATTCATCTGTAATTTAAAAAAATCTTATAGACTCTGAAGTCACTTGTAACTATAGTGAGACCTTATAACTTATATCTCAAGGTGGGTTTTTTTTTTATTTTTATTGCTTAGATGGATGGACGAGCTCACAGCCCACCTGGTGTTAAGTGGTTACTGGAGCCCATAGACATCTACAACGTAAATGCGCCACCCATCTCGAGATATAAGTTCTAAGGTCTCAGTATAGTTACAACGGCTACCCTACCCTTCGAACCGAAACGCATTACTGCTTCACGGCGGAAATAAGCGGGGCGGTGGTACCTACCCGTGCGGACTCACAAGAGGTCCTGCCACCAGTGATTACACAAATTATAATTTTGCTTGTTTGGTTTTTATTACACGATGTTATTCCTTCACCGTGGAAGTCAATCGTGAACATTTGTTGAGTACGTATTTCATTAGAAAAATTGGTACCCGCCTGCGGGATTCGAACACCGGTGCATCGCTTCAACACGAATGCACCGGACGTCTTATCCTTTAGGCCACGACGACTTCTGTCCTGTGGGTGGCGCATTTACGGTTGTAGACGTCTATGGGCTCCAGTAACCACTTAACACCAGGTGGGCCGTGAACTCGGCCACCCATCTAAGCAATAAAAAAGTCTTACCTTGCTTAACACGCTGTTATTTATAAACTTCTAAGAAATTTTTGAGATATTGCGATTTTTTTCCTATCTATTTCCTGATAGTCTAAGGGGCGTCCACGTGGACGGGTAGGTGAGCTCACGGGGTCAACCTGAGAGAATTTGCTATCGCTTGCCCTAGCAAGAGCAGTAAGTATTTCGCTGAATCTACCACCGGCGAGGAATCACGACCCACTCAGAAGATTTGGCGAAAAACTTAGTGGGCTGTGTCTACGGGTTAGTTCGCTCGTCGACGAGGATGGTGACCGGTGCTTGAAGGGCCTAAAAGCATCGACAGTGTGTCCGGTGGATCCGACAAGACACGGTTCGGGCGATGACGGCTTTGCGTTGCCCCGTCGCTTGGGTCGGATATGTATTTTTTTCTTTTTAATATTCTCAGCTCGCGCTATAGACAAACACTACCCTACGTTTTCCAGCTGGAAAGCATTCGCGCCTTCCGATCTGAGCAGTAAGACACTTCAAGCCGAGCATTTATTTTATTATGTCAATAAATAAAAAAGACGGTAGTTACATTTTTTTGAATTCACGTATTCAATTGAATGAGATTGTATGTACCTGGATTAACAGGGTCCCGGTGTTTGTGTCGAAAAGGAGCGGCCTGCAGCGGAGCGGGCTCCGGTCGGCCGAAGGTACGCAGCGTGGCGCCCGCGCCCCCCACCCCCACCCCGACCGCGCCCCCGGCCGCCGCCCCCTCGTCCCCCGCACTCTCCGCACCGCCCGACATACTGAACGTCGCGTACGGGCTTATCTCGTACATTTCTACGTTTGTGAACAATCATATAATTTAAGACAACAATTAATATTGATACTTAAATACAGAGAGCAATCAAGTATCAAAATTAAAAGACTACCAGAGTATAGTAGGTATATGATAGTCATGGAGTAGGCATATTTTCGATGCCGTCGTGGTCTAAAGGATAAGACTTCCGGTGCATTCCGGTACATGCAACGGTGTTCGAATCCCGCAGGCGGATACCAATTTTTCTAATGAAATATATACTTAACAAATGCTTAAGAAAGATGTTTATGTAAGAAGACTTCCAAGTTGATTGAATAATACCGCTTAATAAAAGTAAAACCAGCAAAAAATATAATTTGCGTATTTACCACTTACTTTACTGACGCTTAAAACTCTTTTCTCAAGATATCTGATATGTGCGTCGCTTATGACTATGGACTTCGGTAGCCACTTATCACATCCGGTAGCGATTTATCATCAGGTAAAATACGAGCTGTTTGAGAAAAAAAATGATTTATATTAGAGCGCTATGACATGTCCTTCTTCAAACGAAGCTTGTGGAGAGTATTAAACGGTAGGCAGCGGCTTGGCTCTGCCCCTGGCATTGCTGACGTCCATGAGCGACGATAACCACTCACCATCAGGTGGGCTGTACCCGCCTGCCTATACGGCAATAAAAAAAAAGAAAACAGGTACCTTGCTGCTCTTTCTTGGTAACGGGATGTTTGATCGGGGAGGAAGTGTACACTTGTTGGCAGTTACGATGGTTGTCTCTCTTCTCTACTGACTTCTCCTCTTCCTCCGATATATCGCCTTGCTCGTAACTCTTTCTAAAGCAGGCGACTAACGGGCTGCCATTGTGATGCATGAAAAGTATTTTTGTAAAATTAAGTTTTTTCAGCTGTATTCTATGTTTTTGATGGTTCGTAAAAACATTTAAAAGAACTTTTACGGCATTATTAATTATTATTTTGACAAGAAAATATCAAAAGATTTTTCAGTCAAAATTAGGGTTTTAATATTAATGCCGAATCATTATTGAGCTGAATTCCTGTGCTCAAATAAAAATTATTGGAATGTATGTAATATTGAGATAAAAAAAACTAATTCACACATAGTAGAAGTAACACATTCAAAAATTTTTGCTTCAAGATAATGACACAAATGTAAAATTTAGGAGAGAGACTAATGGTAGGTTTTAGTAATGATCTCGTATTGATGATGATGTTTTAGTAATGATTAGATAGTGATACAAAGTTTAATATATTTTTTTCATTTATTCGAATATATTACATAGATTTATTCAGAATGTATTAAGTCCAAATATTAGGTACGAAGCAGAACACAAAGAGAACCACGAATATAAGAAATTCCTATCTCATTTGTCCTCATGTTAAATCTTATGAATTTATGTGTCTGCCTCTTTTTAATGTCGCCTCTTCGTTTCATCGACTTTCGAATCACAACGATGCTAAAGAGGGTTTCACTTCAAAAATTATTTAAATTGAATACAAAAACTACCTTCTTTTATAAATGAACGCTGCCAGTAGCAACAGAACTATGACGGATCCCACTGCGGTGGCGGCCAGGGTGGCGGTGGCGCGCTCCTCGCCGTCGTCTCCTCCACCAGGAGGGAAGTGGGCCGGAGCCGGTATCCGTTCTGTTCGAAGGAATAAACAAAGGTTAGATAAGATAAGATATATATCTTATCTAAGATAGATCTTATATAAGACATAGATAAGATAGTAAGAAGATAATAACGTCGTTCAAAAATAACAAATAATAGTTTAAAAAAACTAAAAAAAGACGCTTTTATAGAAAATCCAACTAATAAAATAAATAGAAAAAAGGCGTGGGGTGCTTTTCAGGATATTACTGATACCATGCATGCCACGCTTTTTTTTACAATAAAATAATTTTTTTTACGCTATCTTTAATTCAAATTTATTAAAATTTATTTTCTATTTTTTAGTTGGATTTTCTATGAAGGCGTATTTTTTTAGTTTTTTTGGAACTATTATTTATTTTTCATTGTTTGTTGAATTTCAAATTTTTCAAATTTTTTTGAATTTGAAAATATTGAATTGTCATCGGTCTTTAATAAGTATGCCAAATTTCGAGTTAATCCGGCGTTTTGAAGGGGGCAAAATCATGTTCAAAGATTCCGTGACATACTAACACACATACGTCTGAAGCTAATAAAAGCGTATTAAAAATAGCAGTCACCTCCGTTATCCGTGAGGGTTGAAAAGTAATAGTTGGCAGTAGTGACGCCCGCGGCACTGTTAGCCACCACCTTCAAATGGTACCAGGAGGCGACAGTCAGTCGGCACACGGCAAACGGCTGGACGGGGGAGACGCTGCTTGTCATCCACGAGGAATCCTCGAAGCTCTTGATGGATATCGTGAATTGGAGAAGGGGACACCCGTTACTGTTCCACGTGAGAAGGTTCAGACGAACACAGGTGCTGTTCGCAGCGACGAGGTCTTTCTCTGCTGGAGCTTTAGAAGCTGTAATGAAAGCATTTTATTTTATAGCTTAGAAATGAAATCAAAATTTCAACAATAAGAGAGTATTTAAACGGCTCTCAGACCATCCAAACTTGAATGCGCGATTGCTTTGCTTCAAATAGGATTAATACTAACATTGGAACTATTTAAACTTTGAATAATTGAAAATAATTTATATCTGACCATAATTCTTAGTCGCGATCGTTGAAAAATACGTGGATTCCAGAAAAAAAGATGTGTGGTGTCGTGGGACACCGGATAGGAACGAAGTTCCTTATGACAAAAATATTAATTTTAAGTTCTATTCGAGGTATAAAGAAAATAAAACTGGAGGTTTCGCGACAACCCACGGTCATTCGGTAACGTGCGAACTTTTTGTGGTACACTTCATTCACGGTTGTTTGGATAAGAGTTAGTGTATTGCGCAAACGAACGCTCTGAGATCGTGGTCAATGAATGATAAAAAAATATGTTTCTTTGGTACGTTATTACAAAGTTAAGTCGTACACTGTGTGCATTACTAATAAAAATCTTACGTTACGGACGTTTTTTCCCGGTTAGGGTACCTCTCCGCATCGTCTCATAAGGAATTTCGTTCCAAAAAATCCTTAACCTAAGAATACTATACCACTACTACTACTGATAAGAAAGAAGTATAAACGCAAGGTATATTCCGATCATATCATGTGCAGTACTTTGACCTCATAAACAAATGAACGAACTGAATGAATACTTACGTCCACCTTTGGTAGACACGTTCAAGTCCTCGCTTGGTGGAGAGGCTCCGATCGCGTTATGAGCTGTTAGTCGGATCTTATACACAGTTCCACAGGACAGTCTCTCCAGCGAGTGCGCTCGGCTGTCGGCCGGCAAGTAAATTGACATCCAGGAACTGTCCTTCAGACGAGCGTATTCCAGCGTGTAGCCTGCGGTATTGCAAAGGAAATACAGTGGAACAAATTTATTACGAGCACTGATATATCCAAACGGCATCAGAGTTTACAGCTTATCAGATCTGAAGAGACCACGGAGACTTGTAGCGGGTGTAGTCATCGTAGAACACAAGTTATTTGACTTAAACCTGAATCTCACTCACGACATTTTAATTTGAATTGTCAGGAATTCACTGAGTAAATTCATGAAAAGTGGTTATAAAAACTAGACATATGGTAGAAATATTAGAGATATTAATAAAAGTCGTGAATGGCTTAATTTAATGCTCTAAGTCAGGACTGTCCAGACAACGACCCTTGGCTAGTTCCCATGGGGCCCGCGACGCAATTTTTTAGTCAGTAAATAATTATGGTTAAAAATAGTTTGGATAATATAATTATTTGTCAAAACATATAACATATACTAGGCTGCACTAAAAGTATCGGGAATGGAATATTTCCACTGTTCCTGTCACATTAAAATCTTTTTAATTGAAAACTCCTTGGTTTTAAAAATCGAATACCATTTATTTATTTAAAAAAAGATTCTCTCAGAGAAAAAAAAAGAAAAGGTCTTGTCACGAGGTTTTGTCAAACTTGTTTAGTCGTTGAGAAAATGGAATTGACTCGAGAAAATTCAAGAGCGATGATTTATTATGACTTTCGAAGTGGTTTAACACCAAAACAGTGTGTTAACCGGATGATTTCTGCATTTGGTGATGAAGCCCCATCCAAAACCACAATTTATCGCTGGTTTGCTGAGTTTCAACGTGGACGTGTCAAGCTCAGTGATGATCCCCGTCAAGGTCGTCCAAAAACTGCTGTCACCCAAGTAAACGTTGATGCTGTGCGTAAGCTGATTGAGGAAGATCGACATGTGACATACCGTGAAATTCAGGCAACTTTAGACATTGGCATGAGTCAAATACAAATAATCTTGCATGAACAATTAGGTGTAAAAAAGTTGTTTTCCCGATGGATACCGCATTCGCTCTGTGAAGAGCAAAAAGCGGCTCGCGTTACTTGGTGCGTCAGAACTCTCGAAAGATTCCACGCAGGATCCTCAAATGCTGTATACAACATTGTATCAGGTGACGAATCCTGGATATACGCGTACGAACCCGAAACAAAAAACCAGTCACGAGTTTGGGTGTTCGAAAATGAGTTAAAGCCAACAAAAATTGTTCGTTCACGGAGTGTTGCAAAAAAAATGGTGGCCACGTTTGTCTCCAAAACCGGCCATGTTACGACTATTCCTCTTGAGGGACAAAGAACGGTTAATGCAGAATGGTATGCTAGCATTTGTTTGCCACAGGTCGTTTCTGAACTCCGTAAAGAGAACTGCAACCGCCGCATCATCCTCCATCACGACAATGCGAGTTCTCACACCGCGCACAGAACAAGAGTTTTTAGAGCAAGAAAACATAGAATTAAAAGACCATCCGCCGTACAGCCCCAACCTAAGCCCTAATGATTTCTATACTTTCCCTAAAATAAAGAATAAATTGCGTGGACAGAGATTTTCATCACCTGAAGAAACTGTGGACGCCTACAAAACGGCCATTTTGGAGACCCCAACTTCCGAATGGAATGGTTGCTTCAATGATTGGTTCCATCGTATGGAAAAATGTGTCAAATTTCGCGGAGAATACTTCGAAAAGCAATAAATACATTTTTAAATAGTAATGTTGTGTCACTTCGTTAATTCCCGAAATTTTCAGTACATACAATACAACTGTACAATTTATCTTTATTCTCGTAACATTCCATTCCCATGACATAATATGTAAGTGAAGCTATATTTTACTGTTATTTTTCTGAAAATATTTTTGTCCACGGCCCTCCAGCTTTTGTATTAATTAGCCCGCAAGGGTACGTAGTTTGGACAGCCCTGTTCTAAATTAATTTATGCCATTTTAATAGCATCTTATGGGCTTAGAATTTGTCATTTCGAAGCTCACCATGCAAACTAGATCCTCCGTTGTGTGGAGGTTCCCATACAAGATGCAGCCTAGACGGCGCAGATGTCGCGAGCCTTAGCACCGGTCGCGCTGGTTCTGTCAGTGCCTTAATCTCCCAAGTGCTCCTTTCTTCGCCCCAAGGGTTTCTGACTGTGCAAGTATAGTTGTCTGATATCAACCGATCCATATCTGAAAAATTGTGTTCATTTTAAATGAGGCTACTCTTAATACATCAAATTTGCTGGCAAATCGAAGGACCAGAAAACGATCTTGATCCTCGCGGTACAGCAACCAGGACCACATTCGAATTATACGTCATAAGCCGAAAATGTTTATCAGTTTGAAAATTCATATTTAACGGTTTACTTAGCACTGAAATGACGCGTTATAATTACGGTGTATTTATATTGAGCAAGGCATTAACGAAGATAGAGTTAATATTTGAATGTCTAAATAAGGTATCTACAAGCCACTTCCACGAACGAAGAATATGCGTGTGGTTTAGTTTTTTTTTTGGACATCTACAACGTAAATGCGTCACCCACCTTGAGATATAAGTTCTAAGGTCTCAGTATAGTTACAACGGCTACCCCACCCTTCAAACCGAAACGCGTTACTGCTTCACGGCAGAAATAGGCGGGGTGGTAGTACCTACCGGTGCGGACTCACAGGAAGTTCTACCACCAGTAAAATTAAAACCAGTAAAAGTAAAGTTTAAGAAATAGGATTGTAAAGTGTCCTCCGTGACAGCGTCGCAGTGGTACACAAAATACCTAGCTAAGCGGTGCTTACTCAGTATCACAAGATGATGGCCGTCCACGAGAAATCGTGGATCCTGGAGTATGGGCGCGGAGGGAGTTCGCCGCGACCACGCCCGCTGCGGGGTAGGGCTGCCCGCCGCGCCACACGCCACGCGCGCTCTCCGCCCCACTGGGAACTTCAACCTACGTCCGAAAGACGTAACCTTGGCCGGGGCTACGAATAGGAAATTACAGCCTCAAAAGAATGAACTTAACTTGAACACTCACTTAGTAGGTAATATTTTTTAAGGCCTTGTTCGTAACATAGCAACCCTATTTTCCTCATGGCGGCAGAAGCGGGGGATAGGCGTGGACTTACAAAATAAAACGACGTGCATCAACGAAAAAACGCATAGTCATTGTGGGTCCCGTAAAATTGTACTAATTTTGATCCGATTTATTAAACCAGTTATAAATACAGTCCACTTTTATTCGAATAGGCCTTGCACCCAACATCACATCGCAACGGCGCCAACAGCCTTCTAACGAGACCTTTTTTTGTAATTGCCCTTGTAGGTAGAGGAGCACACGGTCCACTTGACGGTGAATGGTTAACATCGCCCATGGACTTCAGCAATGCCAGAGCCAAGCCGCTGCCTACCGAAAGCAAAGTCTTGAATAGTATTTTTAAATTATAAAAGATGATATGAAGCGAAATGCTTCACCCCTTGCGTTCCCCTCAAATAGTCCTAATGGGTAGAAATAATAAACACTAGACATTTATAGCATAAAATGTGATTAGAAATGTTTAAATTTGATTTTTGCATTTCAGGAACTGTTTTGTTTAACCACAGTGCGATATGAAATATCCCACACCGACCTTAATGTTATTTTATTAGAGCCGATTCGTATCAGTGTTCATGTGACCTAAAATTTAATTTAGAGAGAGAGAGAGAGAGAGAATACACTTTATTGCACACCAACACAATTTACATTTTAAAAAAAAAACAGTCAAAAAGCACATATGTACAATAGGCGGTCTTATCGCTAAAAGCGATCTCTTCCAGACAACCGTTTAATTTACAGAAATTCTGTAAAATATAAAAAATATAGCAGGTATGTTGCGGTGTACCATATACAATACATTATTATAGAAAATATATACATATAATAAACAGATATATACCGTTTACANTATTATAGAAAATATATACATATAATAAACAGATATATACCGTTTACATAATATAATATATACCAATATACATACTTACATACAATACATACTAATATACTTACACACACATAATAAATCAACAGTATGGAAATTATAAATGATAATGATGCAACAAACAGCACTAAGCAGATAAGTAGTGTTCCTTCACCATTCTTTTAAAACAGTTTCAAGTTGGAGCACTTCTCATTGCATCCGGCAGAGCATTCCACAATCGAACCGCCTGGACGGTGAATGAATTGTCAAAGAATGATGATGAATGCACCGGCATTTTCAGTCTCAGGTTATCTGATGATCTCAGAGAAAAATTATGCGTATCACCTAGGAACTCGAAATTAAATTTACTTAATTAATTAAAAATTTACCTCTTGGATTAGGTTTCGTGGCCACAATAGCACTCATCTCTCCCTCTCCCGTGGCAGTGGCAGCGGTCACCCAAAACTCATAAACCTGGTGCTCTTGCAGGCCTCTGACTTCCACTTGGTATTCATCTTCTTCGTCTCTGTGCAGCACCATCAACTGAGAGTGCTGACCTGTTCTGTCATTGAATTGGAAAACGCGATATTTACAAGTCTTTCTCGAGGGTTTTTCGATAGATCTTGAAATTTGATAAATACGAAGAATTAACCTGAGGTTTTCTCAGTCATCTTGTTTTTTTATTTATTGCATAAATAGGTGGATGAGCTCACAGCCTACCTGATGTTAAGTGGTTACTGGAGCCCATATACATCTACAACGTAAATGCGCCACCCACCTTGAAATACAAGTTCCAAGGTCTCGATTATAGTTACAACGGCTGCCCCACCCTTCAAACCGAAACGCATTACTGCTTCACGGCAGAAATAGGCAGGGCTGTGGTACCTACACGCGCGGTCTCACAAGAGGTCCTACCGCCGGTAAAAATATTCTCCTTAGAGTAAATAACTAATGGCCCACTACCCATGGACTGAACTGAACGGGACCCATAAATAATTTTTTGTAAGCCATTATGGCACCAACCTTTGCGGACGATTATAGATAGTATAGTGCTTTATCTTGCCATTTTTCTGGGCGGGAGCCAGCCAGCTGACTATCACCGTGTCTTCTGAATTAGCCAACGCCTTTATATCGGCCGGAGAGCCGGGAACTGCGAAATGAAAAATTCAATATTTACAATCAAATAAAAAAAATCGGTTGTCTGTAAAGTCGGTTTACTGACGTTAGTTGTACGTGACAACGTCATAAGAACGCCGATTGTGTCTCTTTGTCGCTCGTTGCGCGCTCTCGCTTGCACTTCAAGCCTTAAATGGAACGCCTCTGAGCGAGGTAACGCCGCATGAGTAACGTTTTTCGTGCGTGCAGCCGGCTCCATCGAATTAAGACGTTGTCACGTCAAAAAAATTTCTCTCAAAGCCGTGCTCTGTGCTATGAGGTAGAATGTGTCATGTGTTGCTGTGAACAAATCCTATTTTACTATGTTATTCTTATTTCTGCACAGTCTGCATAGCACAACATTTTGTTGAGATAACGAATGCGGATTTTTTTATTACCCTCCTTTCATTATGTATACCCGGTGAAAAGTGCAATAATCTGCTAGTGAAAGGAACTGGTCACTATAACGAATGCTGGGGAAGGTTTTTATCCNTGAGATAACGAATGCGGATTTTTTTATTACCCTCCTTTCATTATGTATACCCGGTGAAAAGTGCAATAATCTGCTAGTGAAAGGAACTGGTCACTATAACGAATGCTGGGGAAGGTTTTTATCCATAGGCCTCTCGGCTAATGTTGTATTGTTTTTTTTTATGAATGAAGGATTACTGGTGGCCCGGAGGCCTTTCCAGTTTCACCAGGACAGGTGTTGTATTGTGTAAATGTGAGGACCGGTTCGATGATTATTTATTTATTTATTTAGTCTACTTACAAATTAACAGCATAAACCAAAACATTTGTAAGGTATTAATAATTAGCTTAAGTAATGTCTAACAACAACAATAAATCGCTGCCAACCATCATGGAATATATCCATTTTTTTTTATTTATTGCTTAGATGCGTGGACGAGGTCTCAGCCCGCCTGGTGTTAAGTGGTTACTAGAGCCCATAGACATCTACAACGTAAATGCGCCACCCACCTTGAGATATAAGTTCTAAGGTCTCAGTATAGTTACAACGGCTGCCCCGCCCTTCAAGCCGAAACGCATTACTGCTTCATGGCAGAAATAGGCAGGGTCGTGGTACCTACCCGTGCGGACTCACAAGATGTCCTACCACCAAGTATTAAGAACGGATAGTATCCATACATTTTCTTGAATAGGAACCTGCAAAATTAGAGCGAAACACTCACCGTCTTCAAGAGTACTGCAGTAAACCGGTTCAGAAGGAGGTCCGGCCCCTGCCGTGGTCCTCGCCCTGATCGAGACGCTGTAATTGGCAGCCCGCCGCAACGATTGTAGCACCGTCTCTAGACTTCCAGAACGACGAGTCTCAACTTGGCTATCAAGATCGTCTACTGCCTGAAAAAAAAATCTATATATTAATACGCGAAGGAAAAATGTTGTATCCCTTTTTACGAAAATTGCGCGAACGGAGAAGTATGAAATTTCCCACACTTATAGAGAATATAGAGAAGGAGTGCAGAATGTTAATATTTTTTTAAATTATGCCTAATAAATACATTAAATCAATAAAAAAAACATTACACACACTACCATGTATTTGACGCACACACGCATGCATACTATTTATTTACTGTAAAACTTTTGACGTCTGTGGTCAAATTGAGAATAGATTAAATATTGTTTGTCATCTATATATATAAAAATGAAACCCGTTTTCCGTTGTCACGACATAACATGAAAACGGCTTGACCGATTTGGCTTATTTTTTTTTTGGAGTTTTTTAATACTCTGTACAAGGTTCTTACGGAAACAAATATTAAGAAAATCTCTCACAAATATTGAAAAATATACATTTAATTTTGCATATTTATTTGTGAACTATTCCACGCTGACGAAGTCGTGGGCAAAAGCTAGTTCTTAATATTTCTCTATAGTGTAGTCTTGGCGAAATTTGTGATTATAGAAGTATAATAGTCTTTGAAAATAGAATCATAATAGTGTACAAACTTACAATTTCAATTAATTATAGTCGAATTTCGATTATCAGGGGACCACTAGTTTATTTAAATTTACCTTCAATACTTATAAATAGATGTGGTATATTTTCATTTTCTTATGTATTCATTATCTTTATATAACCTCGTAAATAATCTATACTAATATATAAATCTACAGTGGTCGGATGTTCCGTTATAACTACTGGACCGTGCATCCGATTGACTTGAAACTTGGTATCCATATAGAAAATATATATTATTATACTTAATGGATAGGCTAATATTTATATGAGTGTTGGACTCCCTAATAATAATGACAATAAATAATAATGTTCATTTTAAATGCCCAGCGAAGCGGGCGAGTACGGCTAGTATATTATATAAACTGGTAAATTATGTGTATCTTACGTTTTCAAAAATCAACAAACAAGCAACAGGTTGTTGACCTTGATTTATCAATCGAAATTTCAAGTCTCTAACTCACGGGAAAGTATTTAGTTGCAATAATTCGATACAAATACACACACTTATATTATTTTATTAATTCGAAAAAGAGTTTTGTTGCTATGATTTCAAGTCTTATTTGCTCATCTAATCCTTTAATTTTGCATACGCGTTATCACGAGTACAGAAAATAACGTAGTATGCATTTCATCAAGAAACAAATCCTAGACCCGATAGATGTTTTTCTTCTAAATTAACGAGAGCGTAGTCGCGTGTAAAAGTTAGTAATAATACAGTACAGTAATAATATAGTGGTAAGTGACATGGCCACTACACAAGGGGGTCGCGGGTTCAAATCCCGCCAAGGAAGGATATTTGTATGATAAATACAATATAAAATGTCTTTTCCAGGGTTATGGTTGTATACTAAATATATGTATGTGTATAATAAAAATCTTACATTTATTTCCGTTATCTGGTACCTGTAACACAAGTTCTTTACGAACTTAGCACGGGACCAGCTAACGTGGCGTGATCGTTAAAAAAAAAACAAAAAAAATGCAGAACGGAGTATTCAAATTTAATATTTGTTTATTCTGCATGTCTGTTCACGTTCTCTGCATTCGATTGAGTTCAAACATTACACAGCTGTTATTGAGACTAAGAGTAAGCAGGTGAACGTAAAAAAGAGGGCGCTCTAACTTCAACAAAATTAGTAGATTTCATATTAAATTTCGTATCATTCTTATTTTTTATAATCCATAACAGTTTGATGGAGTTAGCGCGGCTACTATCGCTCATGGGAGCCATGGGTAAACACGTTTATTAAAAATATTACTGTGCATTTTTGAAGTTATACTTCTTTAGGCGCGTTATGAAAAGATTTATGAGAGTGAAAATTCACGATGCGCGCGCACCGTGACACAAAATTAACAGAATGAAGTTGCCCACTAAATCGCTCATTACAATACGACCGACGTAGCTTGGCGAGTCTGAATATAGCCGCAGGTGAACTTTCCGAACCGTAGGTACCGAGAATTACCGAATTTATACGATGTCAAGAAAAGGGATGTCCAATATGCGTGTTTGGGGATGTTGTTTAATCGATTTTTTTTCAAATTTAAATAAAAAAAAGGAAATAAATTTAATAAAAATAAAGTATAACATCTTACGCGCGTACATAAGTACACGCACCCTTTTTTTTGTTTGGTCAAATCCCAAAAGTGCTTATTCCAAACGAAAGTCTGCACTGTTTACTTACGATAAAGTATATATTACTTTAATATTGATTACCTCGTAAATCAGTTCGTAGCCTAGAAGGACCCNAAATTTAAATAAAAAAAAGGAAATAAATTTAATAAAAATAAAGTATAACATCTTACGCGCGTACATAAGTACACGCACCCTTTTTTTTGTTTGGTCAAATCCCAAAAGTGCTTATTCCAAACGAAAGTCTGCACTGTTTACTTACGATAAAGTATATATTACTTTAATATTGATTACCTCGTAAATCAGTTCGTAGCCTAGAAGGACCCCTCCTCTCGAGTCCAGAGGCGGAGGTTCCCACCACACGCGTATCGACTGCGCTGAGATCGGTTCGCAGCGGACTCGTACCGGAGGTGCTTCTGGGGCTAATATTGAAAGAATATCCTTGGTTAATGTGCACATAATCGGCCCTCTGAAGGATAATTTGTGAAAAGATTCTAATTAAACACTTCTTCTTAATTAACTTTAAGGTCAGTGAAATGTTACGATTTTTTTATTACTTAGATGGGTTAACGAGCTCACGGCCCAGTTGGTATTAAGCGGTTACCGGAGCACATAGACAACTACAATATAAATGCCGCCACCTATCTTGAGACAAGAGTTCTAAAATCTCAGTTGTAACAGTATGACGGCTGTCCCTCTAAGGGACCTCTTGTGAGTCCGCACGGGTAGGTACTACCACCACCCCGCCTATTTCTGCCGTGAAGCAGTAATGCATTTCGGTTTGAAGGGCGGGGCAGCCGTTGTAACCATACTGAGACCTTAGAACTTATATCTCAAGTTGGGTGGCGCATTTACGTTGTATATGTCTATGGGCTCCAGTAAGCATTTAACAGCAGGTGGGCTGTGAGCTCGTCCACCCATCTAAGCAAAAAAAAAGGATTGTGTGGTTTTATGAAACCACGGTAAAAGTGAAACTTTTTTTCACATTATAGACATCTAACTCTGACAAACAACATTTACATTAAACACTGACAAAAACAAACAAAATAGCGTGGAGCGAACTATAGGCGTCGCCATATTGGCCTTGGCTGCTCTGACGAGCGCCTTTCACTTTATCCCTACTTCGCGGCCGACCGTCACGCGACATGCAACACACAGGCGAAAAAGTTTGAGACGATGTGATAAAAGTTTGAAGAGTGAAAAAAACGTGAAACCAATTTCATACCTCCTTCAAGAGTGGTGGCTGTTATTGGTACAGAAGCTGGTCCTGGGCCGATTGCATTGAACGCTCGCACACGCACCTCATAATGCGTGTGCGCGCGCAACGAAGATACCACAATGTGGGAAACGCCCCATCCCGACACAGTCAGCGCTTGGGTCATATTCTCGACGCCGATAGAGGTAGCGTCTCGCCAAGTGATCACGTACCCGACCAGCTCACCGTTCCAGGTTTCTTGAGGCGGAGCCTGTTTATTTAAAAGTCAGGCCTTCAGTTTTCCAAATTAATATATTTTCTCCTTTTATATGGGTATCAGAATACACCCATATGTATTCAAGGACCAAACATTTTTAACAACGATGGCATCGTAACGTGAATGCCGTCATCCATCTTGAGACATGAGGTCACAATGTGAATAGTATTTACAATTAACCCCAAGAGTTTAAACAAATTGTAGAACATTAAAAATAAGAACAACTATGAAATTTACATAACTACATGTCTATTGTAGGGAGTCTTGACTAGAGCAAAGCGTTTACCCATATTTCAGTGAATGTATTTTATATAAAATTGTCTATAGTTGATAATGTTTCAAAAAACAAGAAATNATGAGGTCACAATGTGAATAGTATTTACAATTAACCCCAAGAGTTTAAACAAATTGTAGAACATTAAAAATAAGAACAACTATGAAATTTACATAACTACATGTCTATTGTAGGGAGTCTTGACTAGAGCAAAGCGTTTACCCATATTTCAGTGAATGTATTTTATATAAAATTGTCTATAGTTGATAATGTTTCAAAAAACAAGAAATCGTGGTGACCACCCAGCCACGCATAAACAAAACGGCAACAAAAGGACGACATTGTCACTGTTATTACTCTCGAGCGTCCGAGGACATAATACATTTTGCAACTACTATAATTATCTTCATAGTAACTACTGACATATTTTATGCATGATTAACGAACATTAACATCGTTGACATGAACATTGTACCTGCCATTTTACAATCAATTCGCCAGGTGATGAGGCTTGGACTTGTACGTTGTGTGGAGGCTCAGATGGTGCTGAAATATTTTTCGAATCGTTTACAAATCAAATTTTAACAACTACAGACTTCTGTACATAATAAAATAGAAATCAAAGTGCGAAGATGACACTGAACTTATATCCAATTAAGTTAAATTGGTAATTAAGTAAACTGTAATCCTCATTAAATAGTAACCATACTTTCTTAATTTCTAGATTAATACACAATTGCCAAATGTGATTCTAATAAGTTGTATCGCTAATCAATAAGACGATGATTTAAAAATTGAACGCTACTAAAAATATATTGCTTTAAACTTATACGGTACTGGAGCCCATAGACATCTGTAATGTAAGCTCAAGTATAGTTACAACGGCTGCCCCACCCTTCAAACCGAAACGCATTACTGCTTCACGGCAGAAATAAGCGGGGTGGTACCTACCCGCGCGGACTCACAAGAACTCCTACCGTTCTTTGTGTTAACAGATTTGAGTCATATCAGTTTAGACTATTGTGTGTCATAAATTTCTGTTTAGCATCAAACGTTAATTATATATGGTAGTAAATGAAATCTTTGTCGAATGGGTACCTACCTTCTTCCAAAGTTTGGACAATGACAGATTCGGAATAATCGCTATCCCCGATGTCGTTAACTGCAGCAAGTCTCAGAGCGTACGCCGTAGCGGGACGAAGTCCTTCGAGTTGGTACTCGAGAAAAATTTCAGTATCAAGCTTCGCGGGATGTTGCCTGAAAATTGAACGTAAAATTACAGACAAATGTAAGGTGAATTCGCTGAGTAATATAAAAGATTGTAATAGATATACCTCCAGAAAAACTTTACAAAAGAAAGACTGACAAATTTGATTGAATATCTATATTATCCACACTAAGATGGATTTGAATTTTGCAACCTTTCAATAAATTGGATCTCATAAATATGTTGTAGTGAATTAAATCAATTACAATTCTTGACATTATAATGAGTCTGATCGTTTGAAATAAAGAGAAATATAATATATGGCACTTTCATTGTCCTCAAAATATGACTGTTTTTTGTAGAACACTGAGATCCCGGATACAAAATAACCTTTAACAAAAATACAACTCGCAATGATTAGGACTACTATTTTTATTGATTTTTTTAATCGCACTCTTTTTTTCTTTCTTATTTTTTATTATAGCCTATATATTCACTATAGATAATTAGAATTCCAATGCAATAAAACTCCTAATTGACTAATTACTATCGGCAATTCAATTTAAATTGCTGTCAAATTTGAATTTATCTTCTGTTTAATATTCTAACGTATTATTTATATAACCAGCTAACCTTTATTTTTAAAAAATTATGCATTTTTCTTTTGTTCTCTATTTTTTAAACTTTTAAAGGCATTTATGTGTATTTTTTTAATTTTTTTATTGCTTAGATGGGTGGACGAGCTCACAGCCCACCTGGTGTTAAGTGGTTTCTGGAGCCCATAGACATCTACAACGTAAATGCGCCCCCACGCGTCTCAGTATAGTTACAACGGCTACCCCACCCTTCAAACCGAAACGCATTACTGCTTCACGGCGGAAATAGGCAGGGTGGTGGTACCTATCCGCGCGGACTCACAAGAGGTCCTACCACCAGTAATAACGCAAATTATAATTTTGCGGGTTTCATTTTTATTACACGATGTTATTCCTTCACCATGGAAGTCAATGGTGAACATTTAGTAGTGTATTATGTTATTATAGTTGTATTATGAAAATACAATTTATTCGTATTAAGGTATTTAGGGAACCGACACGGTTACGGTGCAACAGACTGCCTATATCTGCTACAAAAAAGTCATTCATTCCGGTTCGGAGAGCCAGGAGAATCTTTTTGCGACTCCAACTAATGACTCAAGAGATATAATATACAAGGCGATATTCATATTATGATGTCTATAGGTTGTGACAGCCATCCAAAACCGTCGAGCAGTGTACAGTATTTTAGTATTTTGAAGGATAAAACTATATTAATACCTAAAATATTTAAAGTCCTCAACAGAGAGGCAAAGTTGCATTTTAGGCCTGGTTAAGAGCTTTTGCTTTAAAAAGGATAAGTTCAGCTTCACGTGTAGTACGGCTCCCATATCTGCCCAGGGCACTCAAATACAAGGTACTTCAATTTATTCTATTTATTTATTTATTAGACTTAATGTAAAATTTACATTGGCGGACTTAATGCCTAAGGCATTCTCTACCAGTCAACCAAAGGTAGTGCAGAGTAAATAGTGGTAGATGCAATGAAATTTATATGAAGTGACAAATACATACACAATATACATATATAGTTACACACATAGTTTAAATAGTTACAATTTTACTTTCGGCTTTACGTTTTTTTCTCAGCAGAATGATAATTCATATAATATCATTAGGTTCACACAACTGGATAAAATATGCAAAGATAAACCTTGAACTTATTTACATAAAATAATACATTATAGAATTCACCCTTTTGGGTGTGAACACGTCTTGCTTAAGAGCGTTTGTGCTTAAGATAAAAATATCGTTAACTAATATTAAATTAAGACAAAGAAAAAAAAAAGAAAAAACTGCATATACAAACTTACAAAAAAGAAAAATAAAAATAAAAATTATTGTATTAATCTTATTGTTTTCCTTCTTGAAACATGTCTAGAAACGGCCTCTGGAACAATAGTCTGCGGTTTGTCTGTGCTCCTAGCTTGGCTGACGTTCGCCACTCGTCATCAGGCGAAGAAGTAAATAACAATCATATTCATAAATCTCATGAATAATAACATTAATATTCACTCCGATTAAAGTATTATGGTAAAACAATAAACAAATTCCAGTTATTACTACAAACTAAATCACCCATAATTAATTTATTCTTATGCAAATTGTGTTTTCTATAAGTGGATATATTTTATTTTTCCATAATTTTTTTTATTTTCTATTTTAAAATTTATATCTATTATTTTTAAAATTCTATGAGAAAATTAATTTACCTATTTTTGCATAAGTAACGTCTGTGTTAACACACAATAACGTCATCTATACATATAAATAAAATTGGTGTGTCTGTTTGCAATATTGAAATAGCCGCTTTTTACTACATGCATATGAATATATATACACCAAAATAACATTTTTTACAATTTTTGTCTGTCTGTTTGTTCCGGCTAATTTCTGGAACGGCTGGATCGATTTTTACGAGACTTTCACTGATAGGTAGCTGAGGATATAAGGAGTAATTGAGGCTACTTTTTTTAGACTAGCTTCACCTCGCGGCGTCACCTGCGGTACGACAATAACCGCGGGTTACATCGCGGGACTCAGCTTCAATAATAAAATTTAATGTTTCCGAACCGAAGCGAGGGCGGGTCGCTAGTAATTAATAAATTGCAATGTATTTAAAAGACAATAACAGTGACAGTTTCTTTAGAACATTATGAAAAATAAAACGGTTTGTTATTGAAATAAAATTTTATTTGCTGTATAGATTGGGATCCTTCCAGACTTTCTGAGAAATCTATGGAATTTTAAATTTCAACCTAAGTGTATTTGTGTATTTACTATACGATAATGTTCGTAATAACCTATTTTAATATTTTATTTGTTGCCTTGCTTTTTGATAACGTTACAAGCACTGCAAATGTGAAAAATGAAAGAAAAATTACAGGCAAAGTGGTAGTTGTCACGGGAGGAACAAAAGGTGTCGGTTATGCTATAGCTGATAACTTCTTAAAAAACGGTGCTAAAGCAGGTATTTTACTTGGCACAAATGTCACGGAAGGTGAAAGAGCCGAGAGAAAGCTAAATTCCAAATACGGAAAGAATAAAGCTGAGTACATCGAATGTGATATCACAACGGACTTGGACACAGTTTCAAAACGAATCCTAAAGAAGTACAGATACGTGGATATACTTGTGAACAGCGAAACAATAGCCGACGAATATAACCCTAGGAGTATTATACTAATAAACACCGTCGGTACGATTGAATGGTCAACTAGATTTTTTAAAAGCATGAGAAAGGACAAGGGTCAAGGTAGGGGCGGTGCCATAATTAATGTAGCGTCCGTGGCTGCCCATAACATTGATCCTACATATGTCACATACAGGGCATCAAAATTCGCCGTTTTAGCATTCTCACAATCACTGGGCCATCTGTATAATTACAACATTACCGGTGTGAGAGTGATCACACTGTGTCCAGGACCGACCGATACGCCGTTGGTCTATAAGGTTTATTCCTTATACGATTTAGATCTTGTAAAGAAAATTATTAAATATTATAACTTTGCTAAAATACAATCGCCGGACAACGTAGGCAGAGGCGCGGTGGAAGTATTCAGAAATGCTGAAAGTGGCACTTCTTGGGATATCGCCGATGAGAAGCCTCCCGTCGAGTCGGCTAATACCATAAACATAGTACCATTCGAAGAGATTGATGACGATGAGAACACTCATGCACAGAAGGAAAATAAAGCCGATAATTCCAATGACGACAGTTCACTGATTTCTACTGAGGTTGCACTTTAAATTTTAATACATTTAATAGACGAGTCCACGGAATAGATAAATAAGGTTATTTACCTTATTTATTACCTTATTTACCTTATTTATCTATTCCGTGGACGAGTCGACCAAAGGATATTTTCTCGAAATTTTTTTTATGGGAAAAAAATTTAAGTTAAGTGGGTTTAAATATTATACTAATACAGGTTTGCTAGTAATATCAAATATGAATTTATTATTCCAATAACTACGAACGTACATATAGCTATGTCTTTGGGAATTTAAGTGGCACTTCAAAAACATCGTAATCATTATTTTAGAGTTAAAAAAATTTGACAATTAAGAAATGTTTGCTTATTAAAATATGTCATATTGATTGCGTTCGCTGTAATATATTATGTAAACCTGTTTTTTTATGGCCTTAGCTAGTTATCTGAATTTTAATAAAATACATGGTATTTATCCGTTTTATTTTATTTTATAATGTCTTCATGAAAAAATGAAAAAATTCTAAAAAACATAACTCAATAAATGTAATTCCTCCCATCTCGATGGGGGAGATCGGTGCGGAGGTGTTCAGAATACATGTTCTTTTGATTGTCAATGATGAGCAGATTTTCAAATATTTCCCGTTGTCAAGTTGTTAGATAATGTTTCAAAATAAAAAATCGTTTTGTCTTTTAAACAGTGGATACAAGCCTGTTTGATCCACAACCACTCCGAAGTGCTATTAACGACTGGCGACACAATAAATAGAGCAAAACAGAAATATCCGGCCGCAGGGCCATTTCTGGTTCTTACTACGGTTTACACGAAGCTTAGAATAGTGGTGTATTTTAAGTAAGGGTCTCTTTCGTATTGGAGAGAGTTGAAGTCGTAGTTTGAAGATAATCCTATCAACGGCTCCTAAATTCTGAACGATATACGAGTGAACCCTGGTATGAAAACTGTTTGCGGCAAAATAGGGAGAATCGAGGTGCTTTATGGTATAATTACCATTACTAACATTTTGTGGGAGTCCATTACGCCATGCTGCTCATTAATTATGAGACAAAAATACGATATTCCACATATTATTATATCCAATATACTATTTGATATAATATAAAAATGATTGGATATATGTAAGAAACACAAAATTATCATAAGACTAAAACTCCATCAAAATACACAAATATACGTATGTATATATTTTATTTTGTATGAATGAAGAAATGTGTTTTCCAAAGAAACAATAAATCATTAGTTCGAATAGCACCGCTACATAATGCTATTTTAAACGCGTTTTTTTTTCAGTTATAAATTAACAAGCTACGAGAGCTTCAATATTAATTACTTTTTTAAATAAGAAACCTATACTATTTACATATTACATACATTTATAAACATGACGTTTTGTTTGTTACAAATTCTTTTAGTGATTTACTTGTTGCTAAATATAACATTTTCTCTGAAGGATACAGACAAAGAAAGAGAAATTGAAGGAAAAGTGGTGGTCGTGACGGGAGGAACTTGTGATATAGGTTATGCTATAGCAGACCACTTTTTAAATAATGGTGCTAAAGTAGCCATTTTACTTGATATAAAAATCGAAGAAGGCATTCAGGCTGAAAAGGAATTGAATTCGAAATACGGAGAAAATAAGGCTGTTTTTATTCAATGTGATGTTACAGTCGACTCGAAGAGACTCTCAGAGTATATTTTAAGGAAGTTCAAACATGTCGATATATTTGTCAACAACGCAGCATCGGTGGAAGAAAATGAACCGCGAAAACTTATGTTAATCAACGCTGTTGCAACGATTGAATGGTCTATAATTTTTTTCAAACACATGCGGAAAGATAATTTTCGAGGAGAAGGAGGTACCATAATCAACATATCGTCAACGGCCGCCCACAATATTGATCCCTTATACGCAACATACAAAGCATCTAAATTTGCCATTTTAGGATTTTCGCAATCACTTGGTCATAAATATAATTACAATAAGTACGGTGTGAGAGTTTTGACGCTGTGTCCAGGACCAACAAACACGACACTGGTGAATAATGTGTATAATTTGTACGAGAGAAAACTAGTAGAAAAAGTTATTAAGTATTACAACTTTGCCACTATACAGTCGTCGGATAATGTCGGAAGAGGTGCCGTGGAAGTATTTAGAAGTAGTGAAAGTGGTAAATCTTGGGATATTGTGGACGAAAAACCACCCGTGGAGTCTCCAAATACTATAACGGTAATGCCAGAATTTTGAGGCGACTTTCTATGGTTTTGACCGATATTATTAGACCAGTAGTAAAAAATAAATTATACTTTTAACGAGTCATAAGTTTATAATATAAAGTTCAATCATTTTTAAATAATGAACCGACAAACAATGCTTCAGCGAAGATGTGAGAAAGTTGAGTTGTATTCCTGTAAACTGACGATTCAAAATTTGTATTTTAGAACATGTTTGTATGCAAGATTATTTTAAAAAATGCCGTTAGCACGATTCATGATTTTTTCTGGGCTTTCTTCGACTCTGTGATAGCTAGAATATATTTTTTCAATATTCATAATATCTCTATCATACAGAGACATAACTTTTTCCTTATAAATGTATACTGTGACAATATTCACTTGTCAAATGACTGTAACAAACTGACAGACTATTAAATTTGGAAATTAGCTATGGCCTTCTAAAGGCTTTCAAATAGACTCATTCTTCACTAAATTAAAATTAATTTTATTACGGTCCATGTTGTCGAACCCAGTTCCTACTGATTTAAGCCAACGCTGGTTGTTGTAATCTAACCAAAACTATGGCAAGTTAGTATCTGATTAACGGTCAATAATGATCTTACTTAGTTTTTTTAGTATTAATTATTTCTTGGTATATAAAACTTGTTTTGTGTATTAAAGCGTTAGTGTACAAGCAATATTTGAGTCCAAACATTGATGACTTTTTTGTTGAGTAACTGTGTTATATGGTAACTTACCGTTCGAAAGAAAGTGCATTTTTGTGTAGCAGCAGCCCGCAGTAATTTAGTAGCAAATTCTCAGGATCTAAACAACCTACGTCATTCAGCGCTAAACAAAATATAAAATATAAAAAGACAAATGCTTCTCTACTTTTAAATGTCAGCGCTTTGGCCTTCATAACTGTGTTATTTTAATGAAATGTTAATATCAGATTATCATTCTTAGAGACCTATTTAGACAAATACGAAGTATTTAATTTAAAAAAAAACAATATCATTTATGTAAATGTGTTTCTTTTATGTTGTGTGTTTCCTTTTTATTTAATCCATTTTTCATAAATTAAAATATACTTCAAAATTTCATGTTCTATTCAAACTAAATGTTGAAATACATTGTTTGAAAATTGTTTTGTTTCAAAGAACAAACACTAGGCATAATATATTTCTCTTGTCGTAGTTCGCAGTAAAATAAATAACACACATTTTAATCTATTTATGAAGTATCGTATCGTATTTAATTAACCCAAAATTACAGTAAAATGGTGGGTTAATTAAATAAAATTCGTATCATTTAGTTACCACGACTCAAAAGAGGTACATGACCGCCAAGCAACATGACACTTAGTTTGTTAAAAACATTTTTCGTATCTTGCTTTGTTATAAATATTGTAAGTGCTCTGAGTGACCTAAAAAATGAATATAAAATCGAAGGTAAGGTTGTAGTTGTTACGGGAGCAGCACAAGGTATTGGTTATGCTATAGCTGACAACTTTTTGAAAAATGGTGCAAAAGTCATAATTATACTGGACATAAATGTACCAAAAGGTATACAAGCTGCGAAAGAGTTAAATTGTAAGTACGGAAATAACACAGCCGAGTTCATTGAATGCGATATTACTAAAGACTTGGAGAGGGTCTCGAAAATGATTTTTAAGAAATACAAATATGTGGATGTATTAGTTAACAATGCAGGAATAATTGAAGAAAATAAACCAAGGAAACTCTTGTTGACAAACGCTGTAGCTACTATTGAATTTTCTCTCAAGTTCATGGAAAATATGAGAAAAGACAAACTAGGCGGAAAAGGAGGTACTATAATCAATATAGCGTCAATAGTAGTGCATTACATTGATCCTTTCTTCTTTACGTACAGAGGAACGAAATTTGCCATTATGGGATTCTCACGATCTTTAGGGCACGAATACAACTATAAAAAGAGCGGTGTGAGAGTACTAACAATATGTCCGGGAGCAACAAATACAACACTGGGTTCAGATAATCCAAAAATTAATAGTGAAGACGCGGCAGCTCTTGCTAAAGAATATCAATATCAAATTATACAATCTCCCGACAATGTAGGGAAAGGTGCTGTGGAAATATTCAAAAACGCTAAAACTGGTACGTCTTGGGATGTCGCGAATGAAAAACCTCCTGTTGAGTCGACTGACACGATAAGAGTTTTAAAAATTGGTGAAAGCCTTTGATCTTTTCTTTTAAATTTATATAACGATAAAATTAAATCACTTTGATCTGTTTTGCGCATAATTCTTAAATAATTCGAACGATGATTAAATACCAATAATATTTAGCAAAAATGAATTTAATTTCAAACAAAAGTTAATGTAAAAAACAATTACTTCGTATTAACTAATAAAGGTGACTTATAGATTCATCGGAGAAAGAGTAGCGTCGTTTTCTTAGTACACCTGTATAATGCCACAGTGTCATAGGGAAATGTGTTTCTTTTATGTTGTGTGTTTTCTTTTTATTTAATAAATGTTTCAGAAATTGAAAAAAAAAAACTTCTAAATTTTATGTTCTATTATTATTATTATTTTTATTGCCCTTATAGTTACCACCTGATAGTTTGTGGTTACCGTCGTCCATGGACTTCAGCAATACCAGGGACAGAGCCAAGCCGCTGCCTACCCTTTAATACTCTCCACAAGCCTCGTTTGAAGAAGGACATGTCATAGAGCTCGGGAAACACCGTGGAGGGGAGCTCATTCCATAGCCGTATGGTACGTGGCAAAAAAGACCTCTAGAAACGCACTGAAGATGACCGCAGTGGCTCCATGTAGTATGGATGAACTCTACTCCGGTGGCGGGCGATACAATGGTATGAACGAGATGATGGTATCATGTCGAATATATTATTATTATTTTTTATTGCTTAGATGGGTAAACGAGCTCACAGCCCACCTGGTGTTAAGTGGTTACTGGAGCCCATAGACATCCACAACGTATATGCGCCACCCGCCTTGAGATATAAGCTCTAAGGTCTCAGTATAGTTACAGCGGCTGCCCCACCCTTCAAACCGAAACGTATTACTGCTTCACGGCAGAAATAGACAGGGTCGTGGTACCCGCCCGCGGGGACTTTCAAGAGGTTCTACCACCAGTAATTACACAAATTATAATTTTACGGGTTTGATTTTTATTACACGATGTTATTCCTTCACCGTGGAATTCAATCGTGAACCTTTGTTGAGTACGTATTTCATTTGAAAAATTGGTACCCGCCTGAGATTCGAACACCGATGCATCGCTTAACACGAATGTACCGGACGTCTTATCCATTAGGCCACGACGAATTCAAAGCTCTCCCCATGCAACATGCGGTACAAAATACAGAGGGAACCGAAATCCGTCTGCAAGCCCAGAGGTTCCAAACGATCCGTGAGAATGGGATTATTGATAATCCGAACGGCCCTCTTCTGTATGGAGTCCAATAGAAGAAGCTGGTATTTGGGAGCCCCGGCCCAGAAATGTGAGCAGTACTCCACGCGAGGCTGGACTTGTGCTTTTTAAAGCAAACGTCTTTATCCAGGCATGAAATACCGCTTCGCTCTGTTGAAGACTCCTAGCATTTTGGATGCTAACTTGGCTTTGCCTTCCAAATGACTCCGAAATTGGACATCGCTCAAAATGTCGACCCCTAGTATCCCGATACTCTCGGAAAGTTGCAGGAATACTCTTTGGAATTGCGGCGCCATAGCAAAGGTTTCGTTCTTATCAGTGAACGCGCAAACTTGTGTCTTTAACGCCATTTGAAGACTCACCCCAGAGAGTTCTCCACTTCAGACACAAGTTTTGATCGTCTCTCTTGCACCACGCTCCGAGAGAGACTATGATGGCCGATATATCGTGCATCCCCCATGCTGTCATCCGTATAGCAATGCATGCCGTCTAATGACAGCATGCCATTGATATACACGATGAAAAGCCTGGGGGAGAGCAACGAACCTTGTGGAACGCCAGCGTTAATGGTCATGGTATCAGAGCAGTCACCGTCTACAACGACCGTGATGCTCCGCCCATCCAAAAAGCTAGCGATCCACTTGCAGAGACCCTCGGAGAATTCGCAAGATGGTAGCTTCGACAGAAGTGCCCTATGCCAGACCCTGTCGAAGGCCTTCGCGATGTCAAGGCTCTCAGCAAGAGCCTCACCCTTGCTCTCCAAGGCTTTAGCCCACCTATGAGTAAGGTATACAAGAAGATCGCCAGCTAAGCCACCATCATGGAAACCGTACTGTCGGTCACTGATCAGCTTGCGATCCTCAAGATACTTCAGAAGTTTCATATTTATTACTCGCTCCATCACCTTGGAAAGCAAGGAAGTTATCGCGATAGGCCTATAGCTCGATGGGTCCGACTGGTCACCCTTCTTGGGGATAGGGTGGACGTGGGCGATCTTCCATGAAGATGGAACCCTGTGAGTGCAATAAAAGAGGCGATACAAACGCGTTAACGCAGGTGTCAGCTCAAGGGCGCACGTTTTCAGAACCACTGCGGGGATGCAGTCTGACCCACTTCACTTATGGACGTCCAGGAGTCAGAGCTCCCGCCTGTCTGCACACTATGTGAAGCAGATCTCCGACAGGGAGCTATCACACTGGGGGGTGTTCGGTGGTGTGGCACCCCCGTCGTCTACAGTCGAGTTTGAGGCGAAGAGTTTGATCAGAAGGTCAGCCTTCTCTTTCGCATTATGGGCCAGACTGTCATCGGACTTGCGCAGTGGTGGGAGATTAGACCTGCAAAAATTCCCTTCTCCAGCTTTAGCGAGCGACCAAAAAGCACGGCTCTCAGATGGATAGCTCTTTAGTCGCTCGCCAATTCTAGCAACGTGCAACGACTTTGCCTTGATAATAACCTTCTTGTAGGACCTGGAAGCGGCATTATATTACCGCCTTTCGTCTGAGACGTTAGGGTCTTGACGTCTCCTGGCATCATCCCATGCCGTGTATGCGGACCGCTTAAAGTGTGTAGGATCCCTACTTGCATTGTTAAGCCAGGGTCTGCCGCGACCCCCCACGGGCACCTTAGAGGAGGGAATAAGCAATTCCATCCCCGGGAGCACCACGTCTTTAAGACGGTCCGCACAGACGTCGAGATCAGCAGAGGAAAAGCAGAACCGTCCCCAGGGGTAGGATGCGTAAAATTCACGCAATCCATCCCAATCTGCTGACATATACCGCCAAACTCTTTGATACCCGGTCGTGGTTCGACGACCAGGACGAGAGAGTGGTATGGCAGCACGGATAAGGCAGTGATCAGATGATCCAAGCGGAGCGTCGACAACCACACTGTGTCCGGCTGCATCGGTGGTCAGCAGAAGGTCCAACAGAGAAGGCTGGTGCCCCTCATTATCTGGGGCACGGGTGGGCTGTGTCACCAGCTGTGAGAAGCCGTAGGCCAGGGCGAAATCGTAGGCAGCCCGACCCAGGAGGTCAGTGGTTCTGGACCCCAACCACTCTTGGTGGTGAGCGTTAAAGTCTCCAAGAACCATCACCTCCGCAGATGGGTACTGATCAAGCACGCGGCTAGTTCCCTCTTGCACATGCTCTATCAGAGCTGAACCTGCATCACTGGTGTGGGACCTGTACAGGCACGCGTAGACTCGGGGATAAACCCCGTGATCTACGTGCAGCCACAAGAGGGACAGGCCCCGCTATTCGAGTTCTTGTTGTTGTTGTATTAAAACTAAATGTTGAATTACATTGTTTTAACATTGTTTTATTTTAAAGAACAAATACAAGGCAAT